GGCGGCCCGGCCCGGCGCTGAGGGGGGGCAGGGGTTTTTGGCGGCGCAGCGCTTGGGGGGGCGGGGGTTTTGGCGGCACGGCGCTCGGGGGAGTTACGGCGGGGCGGCGCTCTTTTTTTTTTGCCGGGGGCGGCAAAAAAAGTTAGAGCCGGCCCTGCCGGCAGAGTCCAACGGAGTTCCATGTTGGGGTTTGCCCAGGCAGGGTTAATTGCAGGACTGAGTCCTTAGTGCCAAGCATAAGCTCCAGATGACATTTTCCAGCTCTGGGGAAGCAGAGGCATATGTATTAAGCCAAGCATATCCCAGTCAGTGCATATATCAAACGTTTGCTCTTAAATCTCCACAGTGTAGCGCGTAAGAGGTACCTCCCCCAAGGGAAGAAGTAACAGGCCTCATCTGGAGTACTGTGTACAGTTTTGGGCCCCACACTACAAGAAGGATGTGGAAAAATTGGACAGAGTCCAGCAGAGGGCAACGAAAATGATCAGGGGGCTGGAGCACATGACTTATGAGGAGAGACTGAGGGAACTGGGATTATTTAGTCTGCAGAAGAGAAGACTGAGGGGGGATTTGATAGCAGCCTTCAACTACCTGAAAGGGGTTTCCAAAGAGGATGGATCTAGACTGTTCTCAGTGATAGCAGATGACAGAACAAGGAGCAGTGGTCTCAAGTTGCATTGGGTGAGGTTGTGGTTTGAGCATTGGCCTGCTAAACCCAGGGTTGTGAGTTCAATCCTTGAGGGGGCCACTTAGGGATCTGGGGCAAAATCAGTACTTGGTCCTGCTAGTGAAGGCAGGGAGCTGGACTTGATGACCTTTCAAGGTCCCTTCCAGTTCTAGGAGATAGGATATCTCCATTTATTTAATTTAATTTTTTAATTTAGGTTGGATATTAGGAAAAACTTTTTCACTAGGAGGGTGGTGAAGCACTGGAATGGGTTACCTAGGGAGGTGGTGGAATCTCCTTCCTTAGAGGTTTTTAAGGTCAGGCTTGACAAAGCCCTGGCTGGGATAATTTAGTTGGTGATTGGTCCTGCTTTGAGCAGGGGGTTCGACTAGATGACCTCCTGAGGTCCCTTCCAACCCTGATATTCTATTATTCTAACACAGGAGGACTGAAAGACTATTCTTGTCGTAGTTTCATTTCCCACCCCCACCCCCCATTCATTAAAGTTAGCGAGAGACCAGATGCTTGGGCAGGCAAGTTCAGAGGGTCAAGCAGAAGGAAGATGGTTTTGTTCAGAGTCCCTGGGAGGAAGTGTAAAAGGCCTCTGAGATCCTGTCATTAAACATCGAAATAATGGAAATGGAACATTTAGCTTTGGGAAGAGGTGACTAAGGAAAGAGAGGGAGCGAAACCTCATTATCCTGCATGTTTCCCAGAAAGCACCAGTTCAGGAGAGAGTTCAGGAGTCCAAGGAGACCGCATTCGACATAGCCATGATTGGCAGCCAGGGAGGGGAAGGTTAGACTGCACTATGAGAAAGGAGTTCTTCTAAAAAGTTACTGGAAATTGCTACAGTGGAATCATGGAGTATCAGCAGGGAGGTAGATGGGAGAGACAGACAGAACCTGTTTCTTTTTCCTCAAAGGATTCTCTGTTGCCTTCAACAAATGGAAGTCTTGCCTTCTCTGTGATTTATTATTCAATGTACTGTTTTCTTTCAAGATTAATTTTTTAAGTAGGCTTAAAGGACAGCTCACTATGCATGAGATTTATCAGAGGGTTAAAATTCCCAAGGAAATTTATTTAGCTTTTAAGGTAAAACAGGCCATGCTGGTGATTTATAATAACCCCAAGCACTGTGTTTGCACTCTTGCATTCCCATTTGTGCTGTGATTATCTTGAGTGAGTTTTGAATGTAATATCAAGCAAGCTTGGTAAGAAAAATAGTGTATAAATGATGGCACAAAATCCTAGCGCGCTAAATGGGAAGAACATGAAACACACAAATGGTAAATTGCAAATAACAAACTGCCCATAATGTTCTTTTCCTGTTATCTCTCCGCCCTGAAAACAAGAGCCAGAAACAACGATCCATCCTCTTCCAAGACACAAGTAGTAGTGGTGAGTAGGTCACCTTTGCTCATAAACCTTAGATGAGAATCAAGTGAGCAAGAGAACAGAGCAGCCCTGTTTCCCACCTTTACCCTATGATAGTCTCCATACAAAAGGACAATCCATGTGTTTTCGGACTGGGTGATTTTTAATTTCAGATTAAGGAAAAGTGCAAACCAAAAAAAGAACAAATATAAAGTCCCTGTGAGAGAGATGCCAAGTGTTTCCTTTGCTCTTACCCATACAGCCCTGTCCCATAGCAGACCAGCAGGCAGGTGCATTTCCTTTGGTTTTAGACCCTGCAGATCCACATGCATGGGTTTTATTTTGAGCTCTGGGCATCCAGAATTCCCCAGTGCTGTGCACACCATAGTTTGGGAGTCCTCAAGCTGTTATATCACTCAGTTGCTTTCTCTTTCTCATACTCTGTTTCCTCTGCCCTTAGAGACTGATTTCCCGCATTCCCCCACCAGCGAGGTCGAGGGCCTGGAGAGCTTCATAATGTCCAAGGAAGTCCGCAGGGCCCAGGAAAATGGCCTCACCCTGCTTCACCTTGTGGTGATTCAAGGAAATGTGGAGAAGGTGAAGTTTCTGTTGAGTCAGGAGGCCAACGTGGACAGCCAGCTGGTCTGTGGCTACACCCCACTCATCGTGGCGGTCCAGAAGAGGTCACCAGAGATCTGCTTGGTTCTAATAGAGCACGGCGCGGATGTCAACATGGCCGACAAAGACGGTTGGTCTCCTCTTCACTTCGCGGCTCAGAATGGGGATGACAGGATTGTGCGCCTCTTGCTGGACCACCAGGCGCGGGCAGACTCCCAAGAACATGAAGGATGGACTCCACTCCACTTGGCATCTCAGAACAACTTTGAGAACGTGGCCCGGGTGCTGCTTTCCCGCCAGGCTGACCCCAACTGCCAGGAGAACAATGGGAGAACTGCCCTCCACGTGGCAGCTTGCTTTGGGCACATCAGCCTTGTGAAACTCCTAGCCAGCCAAGGAGCTGACCTAGAGAGGAAGCAGAAGAACCACCGGACCCCACTGCACTTTGCCGTGGAGAGGGGTAAGTTCAGGGTGGTCCAATACCTGCTGAAGAGTGGGGCATCTGTCAACTGCCTGGATGAGAATCACTACAGTGCCTTGCACATGGCCGCAGTGAAGGGGAAATACCTGATATGTGAGAAATTGATCAAATACGGGGCCAATGTGGACTTGAGGACGGACAAAGGGTGGACCCCCCTACACCTGGCTTGTTTTAAGGGCCACATTGAAATCATCCGCCTGCTAAGAGACAACCACGCTAAACTGAATGTCAAAGGAGGCATGGATTGGACACCTCTTCACGTGGCCACCCGCTATAGCGAAGAGTCTGTGGTCTGCGAGCTCCTGAGAAGCGGGGTGGACCCCAACATCACTGAGAAATCAGAGTGGACCCCTCTCCACCTCGCAGTCCAGCGGGGTACCTTCCTGAGCATCATCAACCTTCTGGAGCACAAAGCAGACATCAATGTTAAGAACAAGGTGGGTTGGACTCCCCTGCACCTCGCTGTCCTCAGTGGCAACGTGGCTATCATAAAGACCTTAATCAAGGCCGGTGCTATGCTGGATGTGGAAGACATGACTGGCTGCACGCCCTTCCAGCTGGCCATTAGGAATCAGAAGCAAAGCATTGCTGCCTGGCTGCAAGGCAAGGACTTGCCAGTGAATAACATGGGGAGCAGGGTGACATGGAGTGGTGAAAAAGCTTAAAACCGTGAGCTCCAATTCACCCCTGACATGGTCAACAGGTGGGATGGATTTGGAGAGTCCCCAGTTCTTGCAATTGTATGTTGAGTCTCACAGTATTCGATGTTGTTTCTTCAATCACTAGCTCCTCGAGTCAGGCGATTTGAGGAAAATCTCAACTTTCATTTTTTTAAAAATAAATATATTTCCAGTTCACATGTTTGCTGAGAAAAGCTGGAGGATGTGAATCCTAAAGTCTCCAACGCCTGAGGGCAAACACAAAGAACCCAACACTGGTTATTCTGGGGGTCTGACTCATGATTTTGAAGGCTTGGGGGTGGGAGTGCTGGATTTGACCCATGTGTATGTGCGTCCGTGCTAGTAATTTCATCTGGGGGCAGTGAATGCAAAAGCTACACCCCTCTTTTTGTATGGACCCTGCTGGATTTACATCTGGTGACAAACATACCCACGTCTCCCACAGAGCTTCCTGCTTCCATTCCGCCCTTAAATGGGGAGCTTTTACAGGAATCAGAGTGATACACAAGGGCCTTAGCATAAGCAGGAATGAGCCCTGCGAGTCCCACCCACTGCTGGAAATAGACATGGAGCATATGGTGCAGTTGTGTCAGTTATTCCAACATCCCACTTTCATACCAGCCGCCACCACTGAAAATGAACCAAGGAAACAAAACAGAATTACGGGAAAAATAATGCCTGAAATGGACATAGTGGGGTGAGGGGGGGGAAATCCCTAAAAGAATTCCCCTTCCTTCTTCCCACCAAAAGGGTAAGGTGGGGGAGAGTGTTTCTCTAACCATTTCAAATTATGTCTTCAGATTTCTCCACACCTTGAGGCACTGAGCAGAGGACTTGCCACCATGGAGATGGTTCTAGGGATGGGTTAAGAGGTCAACATGAGTCTGACCCTCATCCCCTGTCTCTCCAGGCCACTGATATACTAGATGACAACAGATTTGTTGCAATGCCCACAAATATTTGAGCTAGGAGTGGAGTTTTACAGTATGTGGGTACAGACGCTCAGACTTTGAAAAGCAGCCTCTGATTTTGGGTGTCCAACTTGAGATGTCCTGTTTTTCACCAATGCTGAGCAGCGGATGAAGATAATGGGAGCTGGAAGTGCTCAGCACCTCTATAGAGAGGCACTGGGTATCCAAACCTGGGCACACGAAGTTAGTCGTCCTGAATGAGAAGCCCCTGTTGAAAATTTGGCCATGTGTGTGGGTGGGTGGGGAGGCTGGGGTGGGGGAACAGAAAAGGTTCTGTGGTAAATTCCTCCCATTGTTTGTGTGTTTTCTCCTTTCCGTGCTGAAGAGATAACTGCAGGAGGCTGTCTGGCCCAAATGAGCCAGTGCTTTGCCTCCAAATGACCAGCACTGACTTATTGTAACGCAACAGAATCGTCAGCTTTCAGGAAATGGTGCAAGGTGTTTTCTCTGCTACACTAGGATTCCTGATTAGCTGTCCGGAGATCTCCTAGAGGGTGGTAACACGGGGTCAGTTGGTCTCCTTTGCTTGCCCTTCAAGAGCCAGGAACGGTGCAGAGCGTTTATCAGTTTGCAACTTGGAACAGGGCACAGCAATGGGACTCAAATATATTTGTGAATAAACAAATAAATAAAAGTGAGGCCTTTTATTCCAGCCTCCTCTCTGGCAGAGCCGGGGCCAGTGTTTTGAGGAGTGGCAGATGAAATGGTCTTTCAGCTCATCTTCCGTTGATGGGGAGAGGAAAAATGGGCTTCTCTTGGCCGGCTGGTTTCTCTGCCTTTTGCTAGATCCCTAACAATGGCGGAGGGCTGCAGTAACCAGTGCGTGGCCCCAGCCTGGCATTGCAGCGCCCAAAAGGTTAATTCCTTATTACTTGTCTGGTTTGTGCTCAGCACCGCGCAGGCACAAAATGAGCACAGAGCTTGAAGTCTAAGAGAGAGACACAGAAGAGCCAGGAAACAGAGAACTCAGGGCGTTTTCTTTTTGAATTATATACGCACTTCTGGCAGGCCTCAGAGAAGAAATGTGATTTTAAGGGGGATGACCCATTGGGGGACTGGGAGAGAAACAGTCCTCTATGCATTATCATCACAACAAAGTCGTATTCTTATGAATTATTATAATATATTAGATTTTAATTGCCATGTGTTGACAGTATTCTATAGTGCCTAGTCCACACGCAGTGTATTGCTAGAGAGAATTTCATTTTAGCCCAAGCACTTAATTCTTGTTAAGTATTTGCTTGGAAGGTGGATTTTAGGCCTGATTCAAAGCCCACTGAAGTCAATGGAATCTTTCAGTGAGCTTTGGATCAGACCCCAGTGCGACCGGTGCAGGTGAAACCTGAGATGGAAGAGCAATCATTCCACCAAGCCTAGAGAAATTCAGCTTTGCCTTTCCCCAGAATCGCTGCATTGAAACGCAGCCTTGTGCTCCTTTCAGGCAGCCCATCTGGGCTGCTTTCGGCAACTTGGCAGTGCCTTTCTTTGCAAAGGAGCCTCTGGTGGGCTATTGGTTATTTGCAGGGATGCCTGCTCCTAAGACAGGGAGTTAACTGGAGTGTGGGCTTTTGTGCACACATTGCCTTTACAATGGTGGGTGAAAACTTCTGAGCAGCCTTCGATGGCCCTTATTTTATCCGGTGAGAACTCTGAAATAATGATAAATTTGTCAACTTGCACATGCCCGAGATGGTGACTCTCTCTTTGTCATCTTAGTTGCTGAGAAGCAGCGTTATAAATAAACAACCCTGTAGCCCCAAGTGGGAGGAGACCCATCTTTCCCGATGAACTTGTTTGCAAGAGCTGTATCTCACCCTTCCCAGATGATGGAAGGCAACAGTGTATTTGCTCATGCAGCTCTCCTTACTCAGGCTCTGACCCGGCTTGTAATGTATGTTTGTGTAGCACAGAGCTCAGGAAATCATAAATAATATCATCTCCCCTCAGCTTCAGCTTTCTATCCCAGCAAACAGACCTAAGTGACCATGTAAATATTTCATTTGCTCCCTTTGATGAGAGAGCTGTAGGCTCCAGACGAGCAGACTTCATAGCTCTGGGCAGAGGAGTATTAAAGGTACCAAAGCCCTGGAAGCTGTGCTCAGACTGAAAGGAAGTTTAATTTTGCACTGGAAGCTCCAACACAGCTTTAACTCAAAGGGAGTTATTGCCCGCCCCTATTCTGTGGTCTTATGTGGGATTTGAGAGGCGCTGGCTCTCTGCACAGGTGGGTGAAGTTCACCCCTGGAAATAAAGGTGAGCAGGACTGGGATTGGGAGCTGCTTTCAATTGCTAGGCAGGAGCCCGGGTTACCCTTTTCAGACAAGGTTCTGTTTGAGGTGGCTTTCTTACCTGTGCCCGTATCTAGACATGGTCAGGCCAATAAATCACCATATGGTTTTCTTGTGGAAGGGCTGACGATGGTTAGAGCGGAGAAAGGGGGAAGCAAAGGAAATGACAGGGCTAAAAATACCCCGTGGAAACTGAAGCCTATTTCGCAGGCTGAATTATGTCCTTATTTATTGCTCCAGTTAGCTGCTGTTTTCCAGAGTGGAGTCTCCACTAGCTGGAATTCTCTGGTCCTGTGTGATGCTAGAAGTCAGATTGGATGATCACAGTGGTCCTTGGTGGCTTAAAAATCGTGTGCATGTATTTCCCTTTGCTTTTTCCTGGGAGCGTGCAATGAGGACATTGCTGAAAACAGGATTGTGACAGGATACAGCCCGGTTGTAGCTGCTAAGTGCCTGACCTTTTGGGGAGTGATTGACACACACAATAGACAGGAGGACCCTGTTCCCCAGCAAGTTCCCGCCACTGTTTAGTTGCATGGGGGCAACCTTCATCTCCCTTTGGCCATTGTCTGTCCGTGAAGAGAGTCCAAGGGCACAGCACAACCTTTTAGCTGTCAGACGATGCTGACATTTTGCCAGCTGGGAAGTGAAGGGTTTAGATGTGGCGCTTTAATTGCGCTAATTAAAATGTGATTTTTATTTTTTTCTTGTGGGACATGGATGCAGAAAGCTGCCAGTTCCATTTCCCATCTTCTGCTGCACAGGGCAGGCAGCCCTTTGCTTCCAGACTGTCCTGTTGCTATGGTCAGAAGAGAGGTCTAGTATTCTCCTTGGAACATTGGGGCCAACATCAGTAGCTCTGCCTTTTTGTTAGGTCTCTCCAGTGCCCTGCCTCCTGGCCCATATGGGGACCTCTCCTACTTTTCGGTGGGCTGATGAGCTACTCCTGTTCTTGTGCTTGGCGCTCTGCCCAGGACAGTGTTTGTTATAACACAGCAGTGGAGCTGGTCCAAAAATTTTCTGTTGGAAAATGCCATTTTGTCGAAAACTAAACGTTTTGTGGAAACACGTCGACCTTGACAACATTTTCTGTTGGAAAAAGTCAAAAGTTTTTTTGGATGGTGAGGTTGGGCAGGAATTTTCCCTCGGTCAGATTGGCAGTGAGCTTGGGGTTTTTTCGCCTTCTTCTGCAGTGTGAGGTGCGGGTCACGTGCCAGAATCATCTGGGTGTATCTCACTTAAGAACGGCCATACTTGGTCAGACCAAAGGTCCATGTAGCCTAGTATCCTGTCTTCAGACAGTGGCCAATGCCATGTGCCCCAGTGGGAATGAACAGAACAGGTAATCATCAAGTGATCCATCCCCTATTGCCCATTCCCAGCTTCTAGCAAACAAAGGCTAGGGACACCATCCCTGCCCATCCTGGCTAATAGCCATTGATGGATCTATCCTCCATGAATTTATCTAGTTCTTTTTTTAACCCTGTTATAGTCTTGGCCTTCACAACATCCTTTGGCAAGGAGTTCCACAGGTTGACTGTGCTTTGTGTGGGAAAAATACTTCCTTTTGTTTGTTTTAAACCTGCTGCCTACTAATTTCATTTGATGACCCCTAGATCTTGTGTTATGAGAAGGAGTAAATAAAACTTCCTTATTGACTTTCTCCGTACCAGCCATGATTTTATAGACCTCTGTCATATCCCCCCTTAGTCGTCTCTTTTCCAAGTTGAAAAGTCCCAGTCTTATTAATCGCTCCTGATATGGAAGCTGTTCCATACTCCTAATATTTTTGTTGCCCTTTTCTGAACCTTTTTCAAGTCCAATATATCTTTTTTGAGAGGGGATGACCACATCTGCACGCAGTATTCAAGATGTGGGCATACCACGGATTTATATAGAGGCATTATGCTATTTTCTGTCTTATTATCTATCCTTTTCTTAATGATTCCCAACATTCTGTTCGCTTTTTTGACTGCCACTGCATACTGAGTGGATATTTTCACAGAACTATCCACAGTGACTCCAAGTTCTCTTTCTTGAGTGGTAGCAGCTAATTTAGATCCCATCATTTTATATGTATAATTGGGATCATGTTTTACAATGTGCATTACTTTGCATTTATCAACATTGAATTTCATCTGCCATTTTGTTACCCAGTCACCAAGTTTTGAGGAGATCCTTTTGTAGCTCTTCGCAGGCTGCCTGGGACTTAACTATCTTGAGTAGTTTTGTATCATCTGCAAATTTTGCCATCTCACTGTTTACTCCTTTTTCCAGATCATTCATGAATATAGTATTGGTGGCCTGTGATATGCGCAAGGTCAGACTAGATGGTCCCTTCCGACCTCAAATTCTGTGACCCTTGAGGTCCTTTCCAGCCCTACGTTTCTATGATTCTGTTAAACAAATTGTTTTGATTTTCTTGTTTCAATAAGGTAAAAATATTTCATTTCAACGTTATTGTTCTGATTCATTATGTTTGGACTTTTATATTATATTACTATATTATTTTCAGCACTATGATGATATATAATCAGGTTTAATTTTTCTATTATAATGTTTTAATGTTTTAAATGTTTATAATGTTTTAACATTATTAAATTAAATGAGTAAGTTGAAATGAACTAAAGTAACATATTTTGATGGCCTCAAATCACAATTTGTCAGAATTTTCATTCCACGGGAAATTTTTGAAAATTTTGCCTCTTTTTTGAAATGTCGGAATGTCCCAGGAACCAGAAATTCTGTTTTCCGACCACCTCTACCCAGCAGGCCATGGGGCTGGCTCTTTGGAGCCTGCCCACACAGCAGGCTGAGGTGGGGAAGGAGGGAGAGATTACAGTGTGTGCGTGCCTGATGTAGAACTTGTGGGCACCGCAGTTTTTTCATGTCAAAGGTTAGTTCTTGGTTGGTGTGAAGGAGAGAGAC